TGTAAACATACGGTGGTGGTGGAGACTTGTACTCAGGTTTTGGAGATGGAGAATAGTAGGGCGGAGGCGGGGGAGAGTTATAGATGTATAGAGGTGGTGGAGATTTGTACTCGGGTTTTGGAGAAGGTGAGTAATAAGGAGGAGGTGGTGGAGATTTGTAAACGTATTGTTTAGGATGAGGCTTGTATTTAGGACCGTCTCTTCTGTATTTTAGAGGAGACGGTGGTGATTTGTAGTAGTAAGGAGATTGGTTTTTGTGAGATGGAGACGAGTATGTTGTTGTTGGTGGCGGTGGAGAAGCGTAGACGTACGGTTCATAAGAGGCCACAGCCACTGCCACCGCGCTAAACACCAACGCGTATGCCATGAGAGCCATTGTTGGCGTTCCCATTCTCATTCTCTTTCTTTTCTTGATTTCTTGATTTGCTTTTGCATCTCTTTATATACTATTCTTTTTTATTTTTATAATTCGATATATAGTTTTATTACAACCTGCATCATTCGTGGTTTGGCACTCTCTCATTGCATGTGCCCGACGTGCTTGGCGTGTTGCCCTTTCAATTTTCAGTGTCTCTCTTGTACGTACTCTCTTTGAAATGTTCTAAAGATTCTCATATGATTTTGTTGGCACGATTTGTCTTAATTTGATTTATTTCTTTTTATAATAAATAGAAACAAAAGTAGTCCAAAGATATTAAAAAAAAAACGTCTTGCCACGTCAGATTAATGAAGATAAAAGAAGATTCACATTTTCCGTTTTTTTAACTCCAAAGACACAAGTAGCCAAAAGATTGCTCCAACAAATACTAGGAGGAGATTCTCTCTTATTAATTACTTGATTACAGATTAATAATCATATAACGGCTTCTGCTTTGTATCACGCATATCACCATTAAAATCAGTAAAGATGCAAAAACAGAAAATTAATCATTTTATAATAAAAAAATATTAAAATAATAAACTATAATTTCTTATAAACTATATTAGATATTCATATATATAAATTATGATTATCTATGAAATATAATTGTCAAACGAACTTAACTATATTAATTGTTCACTTGAACAATATATGTGGAGCAAACATCAAGTCGTATATATGTCCACTTTCGAAAATAAATTTTGTTATACTGAATGCATAATTAATTCGTAATGGGATTAGAAAGTAGAGAAGACGTTAAAACGTTTTATTAAGGATGAGTGCAAGTTACATTATTTTGCTTCTAACCTCAGCATACATGCACCCACTCACACGATTAGGTGTGACGACTCAACTCCACGCCGAATTCAAAACCCTTGAAACATGCATGCATGCACGTACGTGCCGGTTTCAGGTTTAGTAAGGGGTAGCCTGGAACTGGCATTGTCCGACAGGGATGTTGCAGATGTTGGGCAAGTTCCTAGCAGCTTGGAACATCTGTCTCACCTGCTGTGGCTGGTGCTGTCCCTGGTACCTCACCTGTTGAGCCGCGTGCCTTATCACTGGGCACACGCACATGCGGTCAACTTGACGCAGCTCGTTGCAGCACTGTCGGAGGGCTGGCGTCCTCTGGTTCACGTCGTCGTCTTCAGTCACGAGCTCGATGTCATCATCGGCCGAGCCACCGCCGCGTTGGGCACGTCGGCGGATCCATTGTTGGCAAGCCCTGAGCTGCTGTTGCTGCTGGAACTCCCTCTGGCAGCGTCCTTGTGGGCCCCTCTGGTTCACGTCGTCTTCGTCGAACTCAACCACCGTGCGGTAGATGGAGGCGTTAGACAGGACGAGGAAGAGGGCAAAAGTTGCCAAGAGGACTATGAGCTTCGCCATCTTTTGTGGTGATGAAGTGCGTTTTGTCGTGTTTGCTTGTGTTTGATGCTTTTGTTTAGTGCTTTTGGTGGGTATTTATGGAGGAGGAGGGAGTTTGCATGTCGAGAACGTGTAAGAAGACATTAGAGTACTTTGGTTTTTGTCTGTATTATGTGTTGGTCTCTTTGTAAATGTGGTGTTTGCCAACCGCGGCGTTTCCTCGCATGAACGTCCATGCGTCCCTAGTCATCTGTCACAGCTCTAGTATTTTGTCTCTTTATCGAATCACATTCGAATAAGATAATTTCATATTCTGATAAAACGTATCGTAAATATATCTGTTAAATGTATCTCAAGAAAGATACAGTAACCTGCCAAGACATGGTTCGATTCGTGTGTTTTAACTCGTAAAAAACCACTTAGATTCATATAGAAACTCTCTCAAGGATTCCAAAATCAGAAAACACGGATATGAAACCGATATTCATGCAATGCAATCGCAAGTTCAGGATAGATATGGCTCGAAAAATGCATGGTTGTAGATGCTGAAGACGAGACCGAGGAATAAAGGAATGGATGAGATCTCCTCACCAACCGATTCCCTCTCGTATTGTTAAGGTTTCAGAGGGAGATCGTTAAGGTTTGGAAAGAAGCCCAAACAAATGGAAGAATTAACATTTTCGAGAAATGGTAGAAGTTTCAAGAAAAAGTAAAACATGATATTTGTCAAAGATCCACGTCACATTTGTGTTTCTCATTTTCACCCAACAAAACTACTTCACGATTTAGTTGTTCACCAAACTCGATCTCGGTTGACTCGACTCCACCACCTTATATCTCGCCGGTCTTGACTCGTTTGGACAGATCCAAGACTCCATTCGCTTCAAAACCAGTCATCTTTGTCGGTGGCGTGCTCCTTAGTGCATTTCCACACCAGAAATATTTTCGTTGCGACCGTTTCAAAAAGAAAAACAAATATGATTGATCGTATCTATAAATCGATCCAATGATTTTCAACGATATGACCGAGAACCGACTCAGACGAGCTAAAATGCCATTCGTCTCATCAGTTGGTGCGATGATGGACGTATCAACGCTGTCGATTTTTCACTAGAGAATTCATCATTGCCGATCGATGCTTATTCAAACTGTTCGAGATACGACGCGAAGCTTGACCGTGAAGATTGGCCAATGGAGACTCCAGAATGCTGACACAGAATGGTGATGGTGATGGTGGTACTTATGGAGGCTTATGAAGAAGGCTGACGACGAAGACGAGAAACTAGAGCTGGAGGAAGTGAACACCAAAGACGATGAAGACGACACTGTGTGTGGGCATGAACAACAAAAACATCCCGTCGATGATAGAGAGCGAAGCTCTGGTCCTCCTCTTGACGTCGTTCCCAACGATGTGTAGACATTTGATATTTTTAAAAATATAGTGTAATCTATTGTCAAATTAAAAATTTATGTATGAAAATGTCACATTGGATAAAATACATGTAGGAAAATGTCATTTTTTCTTCAATATACGAGGATGATGATAATAAAGATGTTTGTTTTCCAACCGCATATTATAAATGACACATCTTCATTTTTTATTTGTTGGTGTCTTCCCAAAAAGCCTCAACTTTTCTTTAAAAAATAGAGAAAATCCCAAAACGTTTACTGAACTTGGAGATAGTTGACAGATAAATACTGATCTTTTTCGACTTCCAAATAAAACATGAACTTGTAGGTCTTAACACATTTAATACCGAGCTTTTGAATTTTTGCCAAATATCCGATCGACCGTAAACGACGTTAAAGTCAATAACGGAACGCGTGACGTGGAGCTCGATTATTTCCACGTATGATAACACGTAGGATGCCGTCAGAATGAAAAATTACAAAAGGAATTGACGGGTTAACATAAACCGGATCAGACCGGTTTAATAAAATAACGGTTCATATGAGAATTTAATGTCAGGGTTTCAAAATTTCAACCCACCAAATCGGGAACGATTCTTTCCCCTCTCTCTCTCTCTCTCTCTGTTGGACCGATTCACTGTCGAGAAGAACACAAGGAAGGAGGGAACGAAGAGTTCAATCCGTTAGAGCTTATAATATCCAGGTATCATCTGAACTTTCAGATGAAAACCCTTGCAATGATGGTCGTTTTGAAGGTCTGATTGAGAGGATTTAAAAATCATTAAAGTCTAGGGTTTCAGATTTTGTTGTTGTTAAAGGGGTGTAAAAGGTTTCATTTTGAGACAAGTTGAAGAAGTTCAACCTGTTTCACTGCCCGCTGTGACTCAACCTTTGACGAGTGAATCTCGGAGATCAGGCAGGATTCGCCAAGAGCCAACGGCTGTATTCGCCAAGAGCCAACGAGATATGGATTTCTCGTGACTGGGAATGAGGAACTCATGTTATTAGAACATGACGAGCCCACCACATACCCAGAGGCAATGGCGAATTCGGACTCCGAAAAATGGCGCGAGGCTATGAAGTCTGAGATGCAATCCATATCAGACAACCAAGTATGGACTCTGGTTGATGCATCTGAAGGGATATAACCCATCGGATGCAAGTGGATCTTCAAGAAGAAGACCGACATGGATGGCAACGTGCACACGTATAAGGCACGACTTGTGGCGAAAGGATTCCGTCAAATTCATGGTATTGACTATGATGAGACCTTTTCGCCCGTAGTTATGCTGAAGTCCATCAGGATCCTACTTGCCATAGCCGCATATTACGACTATGAGATATGGCAAATGGATGTCAAGACCGCGTTCCTTAACGGAAACTTGACCGAGGATGTGTACATGACAAAACCCGAAGGTTTTGTAGATCCGAAGAACCCGAGAATGGTGTGCAAGCTTCAGAGGTCCATTTATGGACTGAAGCAGGCTTCAAGGAGCTGGAACCTTCGCTTTGATGAGACAATCAAAAAGTTTGGTTTCTCACAGAACGAAGACGAGCCATGTGTTTACAAGAAGGACAGTGGGAGCACAGTTGTATTTCTAGTGCTGTACGTGGATGACATTCTCCTAATAGGGAATGACGTTCCTACCTTGCAAGACGTTAAGTCTTGGCTAGGAACGCAGTTTTCTATGAAGGACCTAGGAGAAGCAGCCTATATTCTAGGAATAAAGATCTATAGAGATAGATCAAGGCGTCTTCTAGGATTGTGTCAGAGTACTTACATCGATAAGGTCTTGAAACGGTTCAAGATGCAAGATTCCAAGAAAGGAACCTTACCGATGAGCAGTGGCACAATTCTCTGCAAGAGTCAGTGTCCTATGACACCTGATGAGCGAGAACGCATGGACCGGATTCCATATGCTTCGACAATTGGATCCATCATGTATGCCATGCTTTGTACTCGACCGGATGTATCCTACGCGTTGAGCATTACGAGTAGATACCAGTCAGATCCAGGTGAGTCGCACTGGATCGCCGTCAAGAACATCCTGAAGTACTTGAGAAGGACTAAGGATGTGTTCTTGGTATACGGTGGGTCGGAAGACGAGCTCGCTGTAAGAGGTTACACCGATGCTAGTTTTCAGTCAGACCCGGATGACTACAGATCGCAGTCTGGCTAT